TGAATATGATTGTTTGTATCGGTCTGGGTGTTTTTTATTATTAATAATGTAATCGCTTTTATTATTATCTATTAATTTTATTTAATTTTTATTTTGCTAAATCTAGGGTTCTACTCATCTGCATGTAATAATCCCGATGATGATGAATGATCATCAATCCCGAGTCATAATATGTGCTTAAGAAAAAAATATATATCTATGTATTTGTAACAGTTATCTAGTACCCATAATACAAGCTTTAGCTAGTTTATCTTGGGTCTAGATGGCGCTGTGTGAATTGTCGAAAATATAATTATTTGAAAATTATGACTGAATTTTGAATGGCGTATTAATGACAGTCCAGATATATATATTAATGTTGTTCCAATACATACTTAATTGCAATTACATAAGGTTCAAATTTCTATTTCAAACAGATCTTTTGTCGGATGAGATAAGAGAACTGAGTGCTTCGTTCTTTATATATATTCTGTTTTGAAATTGACCTTTATAAACAGCCACATAGACCTCAATATGCTTTGATAAGAACTAAAAATATCAGTACCGAAAAAAATACTATTTACAAGCAGTGTAGAGATTTTACCAAAATTAAAAAATAAGTAAGACATATATATATATAATATCAGGGAGTTCAGATAATTTAGCAGCATCTATATATCTAGTTTACAGATATGTCAGATTATAATATTTCTTTTTTTATTGTCTCTATAATTTGTAATCTGTGGCACCAAATGTTTGTTATGTTACACATGTGCCAGGGTTAGGTAATAAATACTAGCCCAGTAGCTAGTGTAATTAACATTAAGTAAATGAAAGATTGTTAGTACTAATTAAATAGCCTCTTCGTATGCGAATTTATCACCAACCTACAAATCCCACCGACCAATTTTCAAATAGTGTCATATAAACACAAGTAAAAAAAATATACTTATGTTTTCTTTTATCTCTTCATTAATATATTTTGGTAAATGCCACAATACATACACGAGTATTTCGCAAAAAAAAACAAAATGGAGAAATGCTGTGATAATTGTTACAAACTCTTTGGATATTTTTATGTATTTATTTTTTTCAGAAGTTTTTTATTGGCACTTTTTACCTTGTTACTGTTTGTACCTTCATTACAAGTATTTACCATTTTCTGTCAATTGTTTGATTAATAGCACATAGTCCAGTTATGACCCTGAGAAAGGATATAGGTTACTTTTTACTGCTAAGATAGGGCTGTAAGGGGTGAAAGTGGAGATGAAAGATTGTGTCAAAGTATCCTCATACTTTAAGTAGAGCAATGTAACTTTTTAATAATCTATCTAAATATTTTTTTTTTATTTGGTCTGGTCAAGGTCACTATTCCACGCGGACGAAGTCGTGAGCACAGCTAGTTCTATGTCCCTAAGTGAGAATACTTGACTGTATGGGCTTAGACTCTTTGACTCTTAGAATAAATAAAACTAACAAAAAAAGTGAGAATACTTTTGAATTTCGAACTCCACAGAATAAAAACATGACTTGCACATTGAATTCGCGCGTAAATAAATGGGGCGCGAAAATGCTTCTTCAACGTATCCTTTATGAAACTGTTAGCGAGATGAGTGGGATCTGAGCACACTTTACTAAATTGCCCTACACTTGATCCCGTAATTTTTTACTCCACCGTTCTAATGATAGATCGGTATTTCTTGCGATGATACTCAAAAAGCGTTACGTCTAATGTTTTCCCTTTAATACATAGAGCTAAAAAACAGCGTCGGTGATTTATGAATGTTCGCGCCTTTTGTTACATGATGATTCGAAGAAAAAACCTTTGGATATTCTGTTACATTATTTAATTTAGTACATCTGACGGGCGTTACACGGTAATAAATGAAATCTGTTTTTGTAACTCAGACTTGTAAGTTACTGCTTTGGAAACAGACCGTTTCATTTTTCATCCAGATGCGTTTTAATGAAAAATAACTGCGTATAAGATTGTGTACTTTTTAAACCGTTCATTTTTATGGATTATTGGAATAGCGAATTTAAAGAAAGGAATGGGATTTTTAGTAATGTGGATTATTGAACCCATTGCTAACTTCTAGAATAAAAAATATGACTATTCAAATGTGCTGGTATTGAAATTATTTGAATAAAGATTATTTCTATTTCTAGCCATGTACCATATCTTGACTTCCCGTGGTTACCCTGTTCTACTGTGATAAGTTCCTGGTAAATTTATAACGATGGGCTAACTGACCTGACCTCATGCTCATATTATCATCTTCACCTGATGCCCTCATTATCATACATTTAAAAAAATAGCAAATATATACGAACTCTTTATATCGCCGGTAACTGTTACTAAAAAACTAGTCAGATAGTAACGATTAGTTATTAAAATTTCTAGCTTAGTTAGAAGCTTAATAGTTCTACCCAAAGATTAGCTGGTAGAGAATGCCATATAGCATTAAGCTCGCCTCTTGTAGACTCTTTATAGTGCAATAAAGAATAAAAAACAAAACTAGTTGGATAATAACGTTTAGTTGTTAAAACTAGTTAGATAGTAACATTTAGTTATTATTAAAACTAGTTCGATATTAACGATTAGTTATTCTTAAATGCGTACACCTGAATATTATTTATAACTGAAAATATGTTTCCCTAAACGAGTTACGTCGTTCTGTTCCCCATTTCAACAATTTGTCTATTCACGGTTGCTTCTTACATAAGTGCATTAGCGATATGTCAGACAAACGACTTCCTTGTGTCTTTATGTACATAGTATAAAACAGAGTCGTCGCCGCCGTCTGTCTGTTCGCTGATATCTTTTAAATTACACAACGGATTTTAATGCAGTTTTCAGCGATAGATAGAGAGATTCAAGAGGAAGGTTTATATGTATAATACATGCGTATTGTAGTTATAGAACAAGCCGAGAAATTCAAAGATTTGTAATGGTCCGTTTGAAGACGCTAGTCTAAAAATAAAATATTACCTACACACAAAATGTTTATACAAAGCAATTTACCCTATAACTTGCGCTTACTATCATCGTCTGTACAAATATGTTTTTAATACAACATTATATATATTTTTGTATATACTTATAACACACTATCATTAGATAACACAAAATCGCTGACTATCGCTGACTGTCCGTCCCTATATATGCTTAAATCTTTAGAACTACGCAACGGATTTTGAAGCGGTTTTTTTTTAATAGATAGAGTGGTTCAAGAGGAAGGTTTATATATATAATACATGTACACCCGAGCGAAGCTGGGGAGAGTAGCTAGTAAATAATAAATATAAATTATTTCAATTACTTATATATAAGTAGCGAAACGTCCTGCTTCGCATAGATGCATTACAAATATTTACCTCGGCTTCATATCTTTACCTGTTTTGGGTATAACACGCATATATTATATATATAAACCTTCCTCTTGAATCACTCTATCCATTGCTGAAAACTGCATTAACATTCGTTGCGTAATTGAAAAGATATAAGCGAACAGAACACCTTCTAAATTGTTTCTCATAATCTAAAAACCGTTTCCATTGGGCTCCCTAAAATATGGTCGAGCGCAGTGATGGCTGGCTCATCCGTCATACTCGTGAACGGGTGCTGCTTGTAGGGACTGGTCTGCTCTAATCACTATGACTGATTTCCTCTTATTAATTGTTTAACCAGTTGGTTATGTATTCAATATTTTTTTCTTTTTGAGTATTTAATTGAATTAGTGCTAATCGGTGGTTTGTATTCATACACTTAAACTTGAATTGTAAGTAAGAGTGAATTATTTAAAAGAGCAACACACAAGTTTCTTGCTTGTTCTTCTTGTGATGAGACAGCATTCCGAATGAGCGGTAGATTAAAAAAAAAAAAATGTTATGACTATTCAAAAGTGCTTCAATGTAAGTTTATTTGAATAAATGATTTTCTATTCTATTCTATTCTATTCATTCCACGCTGTCATGTCGGCAAAATAGCGATTACGTGACGTTGCAACGAGGTTACTAAATCGACATTCGATAGAAATAATTTTTATCGATATGTAAAGTTGCGTTTACATTGCAATGCTAGTTGACAGCGTCAAATGGCGTCAATATAATCGCATTATTGACAGATGACGTTATTTTCACTACGTTACATACGAAAATCGTTGCGAACGAAGTTAGATAATTAGCCCACTGATATCGGCGGTGACATAAGCGAACAGACAGCGATGGTGCCTTTGTTTTATACTATTTAAAGATAAATGAACAATCATGGTTACACAAGACATATCAACAATAGACAATTGTAGATAAATTGACCATTAAAAAGTTATGTCATAGACAAATAAGTAAAATTGAAGTATCCGTTCGAAATTTCAAATTAAAGGCATATTTTAAAAGAAATCTGTCTCTCATACGTCAATCTATGTTCTTATGAATCACTGAAACGGCTGGATCGAATTTGACAGGACTTTCACTCGCAGATAGCAAAGTTGTAAGAAGTAACTTGGCTATTTTTATTTTAGACATTTTATTTATTACACCATACATTCAACATCATTTTACACCGGTACATTCTATATTTATACAAAAAGTCATTTATAAACGCTGTACTTATACTCGTACATCGATATTTTTTTTCTTATTTTATCTGTTTGACTGTAGGTTTTCGCTAAAGTACTGGTTATCAAACTGTTAATTATCTATATTAATATATTTATAAATAAATGACGAAGTCGTCCCATAAATGCCTACATGTAACTTTTTATTTTGTTATTTCCATTAATAAGACCAAGGAATGTAATTTATACATCCAAAAGACTCTTAACAGTTTATAAACTAATTCATTATTTAATATATAATCTGGATCAAAATAAAAGTTAGCACTAAAAACACTTTCTCATTGATATTTATAAATTAAAAAAAGTAAAGTACAGATTAATATTCTGTAGAATATGGTACTCTGTGAATATTTTATTGGCAAAAGTAATTTTTTTTCCGCTAAAGCATAGTCATCAACTCACCAGTGCCGTTGATGCCTGAGGGTCTGATGCGGGCATCGTACCTCCCCGGACCAAGGATCTGGTCCAGGATCTGCTTCTCCTTCTCTCTGAAGTTTATTTTCGCGCCATTCATGCATCTGTCAAAGGAAACATGAGATTGTTTATGGTACAAACGGGAGTTTAAAGGTCAGCACAAAAGTTACTTTTTTGTTAACACGTTAAAACCTTCTCTTTAATGTTGATACAAAAATATCAAAATACATTTGTTTAGAAAGAAAATATACGATTTTTTTTCTATCTGTTAAAACAATCAAATATTTTAAATTTCATTTTAAATAAAACAAAATGTCAGTACTGTTTTACACCTTAGACACTAAAGACAGCGCTATCTAGTCCCAAACTAAGCAGAGCTTGGGACTGCAACTGATATACATGCATAGATATTTAGTTTTATAAATACATACATACATAATATACATAGAAAACACTCAGACTGTTACAAACAATTCAAGAATACAAGTTTGTACCATGCGAAGATCAATCCTGCGACATCACCGACCGCTAGACCACCGACCCCGATTAGTTTTGAAGGTTCTCATAAAATTAGTGCCAACTATTACAACGTTTAAAAGTTAATATTATAATTGTAGGTATTTATATATTAACATTTGTATTAATTGTTCGTGACACGTTGTAATTAGTTTGCAGACACGTGGCGACACGACGCCAAGTTCGCCTGTCCAAATAATCTGTGACCAGACGTTTGTAATGTAATTTGTTACTTCCATCTCTTATTAATATGCAACAAACTAATAAAAAAAAATACATGTTCCTCCTGTACTGTAGGGACTATTAGTAATAGGCACCTTTGTGGCGGGGCACCAGTGGAGAATGATACGATGAGCATAAAATGGGAACCGTGTGGAGGTCAACCTTGTTGATTATGTGCTATATTATATTAATATAGCACACAAATTATTATCTGGTGTTGCCAGATTCGTACTCGCTACTTTTCTGCCTATACGTTGATACATTCACGCACTAGGCCACAACGGTTTTGCATAATAAATTATGTGATGGTGAATTCTAAATTAAACAATTTAGAAATATAATATATATTAGAAGAAATAACATATAAACATCGCGGCACTTTGTCTAAGTGACATCGAAAAAAACTCAAAACTTTTTAACAAAATGGTAATTTTGTTAAAAACTTTTGAGTTTTTTAATACCTACATTTTTAATTTAACAAATTACACGTCAGTCCTAGCGCCCCTTTAGTCTTTCACAGGGAAGATTTGGGCTATTCGACACCTGTAGAATCTTTGAAGATCCATTGTGCTCAATTTATCTTCAAAGAATAAATTCTTTAAGTAAAAAAAAATTGTCAACGTCAAAAATAGAATTTCAGAGTAATTACTCTTGGCAACACTGAACTGTAATGGCGCCAAGAACATGTTTTGTATACACGCGACGCGTTCGCGCGGTATTTTGTGACTGCGATTTTGCCTCGCTTGAATTACACTCGTAAAATTGTTGCGTTCGCATGTTTTTCACAGATAATTATGTTTGTCACAAATAATTGTATTGTATTGTCCAAACAATGTCATCAATTTGAATTATTACAACATTTTTATGGCGGGGAAGTCTTTTAACCGGTCACTTGTAATTAACACTACACATTATAAAAATATATAATCATATTATCTGATTACATTAATAATGAGTGCGTAGCGACTTCTATGTTGATTATCGCATGCCTCTTACTTGTTATACTGTAATTATTTATATAAAAAAAAACATCTATTAAAAAGAGCAACACACAAGTTTCTTGCTCATTCTTCTTGTGATGAATCTGCATTCCGAATGAGTGGTAGAATCAAAATATGACTATTCAAAAGTGCTTGTAATGAGTTTATTTGAATAAAGATTATTTCTATTTCTATATAGAATAGATATATTTGATACTAGCTACTCGCCCCGGCCTCGCATGGTTGTACATATATTATACATATAAACCTTCCTCTTGAATCACTCTATCTATTAAAAAAACCGTTTCAAAATCCGTTGCGTAGTTTTAAAGTTTTATACATACATAGGGACGGACAGACAGCGACAGCGATTTTGTTTTATACTATTTAATGATTAGAACTGACGGTAGATTTGACATATCATAAGAGTCTGTAATCGACCTACATGAATACAGATATTTTGAATTTTTATTTTTCATTGCTTATATTATATTATCTGTGGTTATGCCAACAAAATAAAAATCTTAGTCTCGTGTTTTTATGAATGAACGGATAAATAATCCCGTGACGTCACGCCATGCAATAAGCGCGGGAAATGAAAAATGGCGTGTCAATTTTCTGTATGGTCATAACTCAGGTAATACTGAATGTAATGAAATGAAACAAAAACTAGTGTAATATACACGAATTGTACACGTAATATTTTATTGTTTCATGTTGTTTTACAAGGTGTTCAATATAATATCTATTTGACATGAACCCACAAGGGCACTACAATTATTATAACCTATTTTTTATGTCCACTTTTATAAAATTACTAGCTGTACCCGCGACCTCGTCCGCGCGGAATTTATCGTTATTTTTCTAAAATATTAGTAGCCTAAGTTATTCCTTAATTACATCAGCTACCTGCCAAAAAAAGTCACGTCAAAATCCGTCCAGCCATTTCAGAGATTAGCCAGAAAAAACAGACAGACAGACAAAATTTGTAAAAAATGTTACTTTGGTGTATGTACAGTATTTATATTCGTATGTATGTAGTAAAAAACGGTTATTTCAATATTACAAACAGACACTCCAATTTTATTTATGTCTATAGACTAGTAGCGTGAGTTCACACGAGTATTCATAACTTTGTAAGTTATATAAAATATTGTGGGAACAAATTTCTATAATTGTATAATTGTTGGAAATAAATTAATTTATTATTACCTCTTATTACAAACTACTGTCAAATGCACAATGCTCTGGAGTATTGTTCATTTCACTTCACATCACAGAAGACCGAAGAGCTGGCAGCTACCTCGGACAAAGAATTAGTCAAGCTATTCAAAGAGGGAACGCTGCCAGTATCTTCGGAACCTTGCCTAAAGGGACCCCTTTTAATAATATATTTTAGTTATTGTATTATACTTTTTAAGCTTTTAATTTTAGGTTGTAGTTGTATAATTAAGTTTTGAAATTTATATAATATATATTATAGATTTAAAATTGTGGAATTTTTAAAACAATTGCTTATACAAAATAATTTAGTTGGTCTATTACTAGATGGCGCTGTCTGTTGTCCAACCGAGGTTAATTACAATTCCTTATTGAAAATGGCCATAGCAGCACACACTGTTGTTTATTGCTATTGTATGGGTTTGTTACTTGTTATTGCTATTGTATACGTATAATTAATAAAAATTACTGGATCTTACCACATTTTATTGTTATTAACACGTTTTTATCAAACGAAGACAAATAAAATATTTTATTTACCACCGGCTGCTCTTTAGGTCCCGTCATGGCGGTTGAAACACTGCCGAAATATCTCAATAAAAATAAAATATGGTAAGATCCCGTGACTTCTACTAATTATACGTATAAATGATGTACGCGTCAAATTTAAAACAATACATCAAGTATACATATATTACACGGGAATCGAACCCACGAACGTAGAAAGATGAGATAGTTACATTTCTACATCAATAGCGTGGTTGCTAATCAATTCAATTCAATTCAAAATATCTCTATTCGTGTAGGTCTATTACAGACTCTTATGATATGTCAAATCTACCGTCAGTTCGGAAAGATTTCGAGATGAGAAGAACTGACAAGAAACTCAACTCGTATTCTTTTAAAAAAATCAAAGGGTATAACTCACTCTGTAAGTTGTGTTAAGCATAGCACGATCAGTACAAGGAGGGCGCATGATGGCCGGGAGATGTCCATCCTCCGTCTGAAACAAGAGTACAACATATATTATTTAATGGCAACACTGGCCTATTACAAACAGGCGGCATAGACACAATTTAACGCTATCCGATATTTTAATAAACAATCTTACTGATCCTGAAAAAATCTCATATTTCAGAAAAATAAAGTTAAATACCACGCGGAGGAAGTCGCGGGTACAGCTAGTTTGTAATGTTTTTAGTTATTAAAAAAATATATATATATATTGCACGGATGGAGGAATATGAAAACTTATAGGTTATATAGAAAAGTAGTGCAGCGCATTTGTTTTATTATGCGTCAAAAATACATTAAATCATTAAAAACAAACGATTTACATTCAAATTAACATATATTTGACACACACACGCGTATACATCTTATATATTTATATATGGTAGTATGTCGTAAATGTTTACTCTGTGTTGTCCGCCTGGATTTATGTATGTATGTGTATTATTATTATTATTATTTTATTATGTTTATTGTATATGAAGGTTTCCGCTGAAAAGCAGCGTCGTGGCACCCCGTCACGACATATGCTGAGCGGAGACCTAGTTGGTACTCTAATTATTAATATAAAATGTAAATTAAATTTTAAAAATTATTTTTGGTGTACCAATTAAAAAAATATATATATATAATTCTCGTGTCACAGTTTTCGTTCCCATACTCCTCCGAAACGGCTTGACCGATTCTCATGACATTTTGTGAGCGTATTGAATAGGTCTGAGAATCGGCCAACATCTATTTTTATCCCCCTAAATGTTAGGGGTAGTCCACCCCTATTTTTTTTTATATTTTAAGGCAAAACAACGTTTGCCGGGACAGCTAGTATATAATCTATGTGTTTGTATCAGTTGTCTAGTACCCATAACACAAGCTTTCTATACATATACTCTTTGTTTATTGTGTGATTATTCCTGTGCGATTACCAGTGCCTGTCATAAAAGAAGACAACAACTATAATAATAATGGTCAAACTTATAATTTAAGTTAATTATGGTCGTATTTCAACCACTGCGCGACCACTACTTATTATTTTTACTATAAAATCAATATGTTATTATCAAAATATGTAATATTAACCTAATAACACATTGTAGTCACTCACAAACAATTTATACGAATACATCAATAACAATTCCGTATTCCGTACATCGCATGTCCCTACATAACTAATATAATATTCAACTGCAATGATTTGTTGCACTTTATTTATAATTCATACCAATCTACGAGTACACTCTGCACTGCACGCTCGCTTATAATCTATTCAGAGATTCAAAAGCTAAAGCTATCTGCAGACTAGTTATCTATAACGTTTTTAGTTTTTTCCCTTTAAAATACAAAACAAAATCGTATTGATTTTGTTTATTTATTTAAACTTTAATTCACAAATACAATATATAAATGTACATGTGATGAACTTAACACCTAAGGGCGTCCTTTACCAGTCAGCCATACGGCAAACTAAGAAGTGAAACTAAAACTAGTAAGTGGCGCATTAGAGTACAAACACTTACGTGGTAACTTTACTATAATACATATTATTAGACATACATACTTACATACGATACATTAATATATATACACAAATACATACTTGGATTACATATTTAGATGAAGGATTTTCCTCCAGAATACAATTTAAAATGTCGATTTGAATAGGTATATATCTATTCAAATTTTCAAAAGTTAAAGGTATTTACAGACTTGTTGTCTATACCGTAGTTACTTTTTCCCCTTTAAAATACAAGACAAAATCGCATTGATTTCCCTCTAGAATGCATTTTAAAATGTCGTTTTAATGTATTCAAAGATTCAAAAGCTAAGGGTATCCGCAGACCGGGCTTTTTATACCGTAGTTACTTTTTGCCCGTTAAAATACAAGACAAAATCGCATTGATTTCCCTCCAGAATGCAAATCAAAATGTCGTTTTAATGTATTCAAAGATTCAAAAGCTAAGGGTATCTGCAGACCGGGCTTTTTATACCGTATTTACTTTTTGTCCGTTAAAATACAAGACAAAATCGCATTGATTGCCGTCTGTTGTAATTTCCTACAGAATACAATTTAAAATACTGTTTTAAACAGGTGTAAGTGTATTCTGCTATTAAAGATCAATGCAGCACATGGTAAGCTCTCTTAGTGTGGCGTCTTATAATTATATCCGGTTTTAAAATACAGATACGGAAATATTGAATCTATAGCTGACATATCCGTGGTAATTACCTGCAGAATACAGCGCAAAATGTCGTACATGGATGATAGTGTATTCTTTTATTAATAAATAAAATATTGTATGAATGGATCTCCATCCATTCAGACTAGTATTTTGTTATTTGGTATACATTTTAAAACCAAATAACCAGGAGGAATAGGATTGTTAGTAATATGGACTAGTGAACCCATTGCTAGCGTGGATGTCAACTTGACATGGTACATAGACCATGTCAGGTTGACATCCACGTGGTTCCCTGGTAACTATCATGATAAATTCCTGGTGAATTTATCACGATGCGCTAACTGACCTGATCTCATGTTCATCTTATTATCCTCCACTGGAGCTCCGCCAGCGTAAACCTATACCGGCGGGTGTACCAATTCATTATGAATTAAAAGAAATACTACATAATTATAGCCAAAAATGTCATAATATTTACCTACAGATGACATTTTAATGTTTCAACAGACACACCCACACTCCTTCATGCATATAAATTCAGGAAATAGCTAAGTTGACAAAATATATGTATGTAATGCCGCTTAAAGTCACTGGCCGTAATTAATAAAGGCATTAAGCCTACCAATTAAGCTAATGTCTGCAGAAATACTTTGTTAGAGTGGTTTTCAGAGTTAATCAGGATATTTGACATAAATAGTGATAAACCCGACGCCATAATTAAGTCAAACGTTTGAACAAATATTTGAAAATTTCTGTACAAACTTTTGAACACATAATGGAAGAAACAAACGTTACTTTGAAAATTGACGGCCTCGCTGGTCGAGCACACCGCCTTACTTCCGATGGTCGCGGGTTCGATTCCTCGCACGGTACAAACAATTGTATTCATGAGTATGATTGTTTGTATCGATCTGGGTGTCATCTATGCATACTATATAAGTAAATATAAACGAAAAAAATTATGTCTATGTATTTGTATCAGTTATCTATTGCCAATAACAAAAGCTTTAGCTAGCTCAACTTGGTTCTAGATAACGCTGTGTGAATTATCCTGAGATTATTATTTTAAAAAAAGATACATCAGAATAACACATATGTTATAAAGTCCTAAAACAGATAAATTTTTATTTCGCAATTTATAATCAACATTAATTTTATAAATATGCGAAATAGATATTTATCTACTAGGTACATGTAAAAAGTACCTAAATAAAACAATTTATTACATAGCAATCATAAAACTGTTATAACAAAAGGCTACCGTGCGTTACATCATACTTTTAAATCATATGTAACAATACATATACATATATGTATATATACATAAATAACATTTTAGTATTCCCAAAGTTAATAGCCGATTAAAATGTTAGATTAAATATTGACTACATTTGCTTACGTTAACTTCCAGTCATTAATACTGAACGAATCGACCTACTGAGTAATTAATGTTTCTAAGGTAAGATAACAAACCATTAACTATGGTGCTATTTAATAATAACTATATATAAACCGCGATATCGTCTGTCTTTTGAAAAAAAAACAAAATAATTAGGTAACGTATCGAATAGAAGCTGTGAAACATGTTTATGCTTGAATTATTGTATTATATCAATCATAATAGCTTATGATTATGTTTATGACCTCGTAAACACTGTTTTGCCATATAAATTAAAATCGCTATTAAAAAATAGGGGTTGGTGGTGGAAGGGTGAAAATTTGGGGTTGTATGTATTTTTTAACGCCGTATTATAAGAACAAAATAAAGTATGGTAACTAACATTGTGATATGAGAATTTTATATATAAGATGTATAATACACATTACATAAATATATGTATATATTTTGTATAAATTCATTATTTGTTACCTACAGTAATCTTGTCCTAACTTTATAATGTCGATTTCTGTTATCTTTATATGTTGAATTTAGACTATTATTAATACAACAAACAATTTATTATATATTATAACACAACAATTGATTGTATATTATTAATACACAATTTAGATTATTATTAATACAACACTATTATTCTGTTTTTATTTATGAAGGTCTGTCATTGATTTAGTGAGTTTTATAAATTAAATCAACGTGTGTATAATATAGCTCTAATTTTCCTATAATAAATAAAATATTAAAATAAATAAAATAAATGAAAAATAAAGCATATAATATAATAAAAAGCAATACAGTAATTTATGGCTGTCTGAGTATAGTTCCTTTTGCCTTTCATTTAAAGGATAAATAGAAAAAAGCAACAGTAAATTGTCCAACTACCTCATTAACATGATTTATTGTATAAGAAACTTCGAATAAGTCTGTAATGTAGGTACAGTACACACTTTTTCAGTTTCTTGTATTGATGTATAAACCTGTAGAGTATAAAATATGTAAAGTATTGCAGAATATAGATTTTTTTTTTATTTTGTTAGTTTTCCCGCGCTAAATATAATGCTCATTTTACTCTCTGATAATGTATGCTTATATAAATGAAATTGTAGCATTATTGTCATTCTCATTCTTCGTTCTTCAATGGAGAATTAACACAGCACTATTTAGTCCCACGGCAAGTAGAGCTCGTGTTATGGCTAATAGACAACTGATGTAAAACAAAGACTTACATTTTTTTTTTGTAAATACAGACACATTATAAATAGCAATACAAACAATCATACTCATGAATACAAATATTTGTACCCTGCGAGGAATCGAAACCGCGACCATCAGAAATAAAGTGGTGCGCTAAACCGCTAGGCCACCAAGACCGTCGAATTAAAACATATATATATTACTGCTATTACTAAAATCTGT